CCAAGGTTTGCACTGTTAGAGTTTGGTTTAGGTTGACCTTGAACCTGACCCAACCCCCGAATTGTACCCAGTGCAAACCTTGGGTTTGGGCCTAACCCAACCCAAGGTCAAGTCCAAGTTTATCAATCCAAGCCAATGCTGAGCTTAATCCGACATAAGTTGGGTTGGGTCAGACTAGGTTTGGGAGGGTTGGTCACATTTGAAAGAATTTATGAATATAGTTTTATATGATCAAGTTTCAATGGGCATTATGATCCAGTTTAAGAATAGATATGATTTTTATTTTATGCCCAAAAGCAAAATAATTCATTAAATGCTTAGGTTACAAAGTAAAAAAAGCAACAAGAAAAACAATTTTGAAAGATTGCTAGGCTTTCTGAGGTTAAAGCATGTAACCACGAGCACCGGGAAGTTGAAACCTCAAGAAACACAAAATGGGTCCGGAAGTTGAAACCACGAGCATCTCAGTTAGATGCCTCCAACAGAGATGAAATTAGCAAGTGCGTCTCCCTACTAAATGGGTCCGGATCAACTTTGCAAAACCCACAAAAGGTAGACCTGGCAATTGGGTTCGAACAGTCGGACCGTTCGACCTAGTAATCGGACTCCTGACCGGTTTGGTCACCAAGTCGGTTTTAAAAACCATGATTAGAATCATACATCTGAAGTCTTCTCCACAAGCTTGGATCAAAATCATTATCACCCCAAACTGTTACAAGAAGCTCTTGAAAGGGGGTTTGACTATGATATGAAAAAGATATGATATCTGAAAAACTCCTGACCAGTCAACTGGAATCATAAACGTGGTAGCCAATCACGTGTTATTTAACAAAATTCATGGGTGGGTTTTGATTGGTCAAAACTCTTCCTATACCATATCTTTTCCGCATCATAGATTTTCCCCTCGGACAAACATAAATAGTAAAAGAAATTGCAACACGTGGCAACTTGTGACAACTAGGCAACACCCAGACAACAACTTACCAAGTTGGTGTCCCACCCGAGCACCGGCCTGGCCGGACTGGCGCGACCTGCACTGCCTGGCGCGCGGCCTGCGCGACCTAGCCGACCTGGATCTGCCTGGCACATGATCCGACCTGTCCGACCTAGTCGCCCATAAGATGCCCACCGATAAACTCGGCATGCATACCCCACGAGCTCGGTAGCTCACCAAGGAGATCGCCAAAGAGCTCGCCAAGGAGCCAGGCAGCTCCGTAGAGTTCGCCACAAGCAGCTTGGCATAGCCCAAGGAGCTCGACATAGCTCCCTCGGGCAGCTCGCCACTTGTAGGGTAGCTCGGTACAGAAAAGTATGGCGTATCGCCGGAAGATCTCCTGCCTGACAACTTGGCCCAGACATTGACTCGGTGACTGATACAGACGCCGACCTGACAACCTGGCCCAGGTGCCAATCTGGCCACCTAATGCAAGTGCCAACCTGACGACCTCGAGGAGTTCACCACCGTACCCCAGTTCTGACGGGATGTGACGAGTCTTACTGTTTGGAGGCTTTTCACCCACCTAACCCGTGAGGACTCGAGTATATAAAGACCTCACCCCCCAAAGGGGGGGGGAGAATGGAGGTAATCCCTGCTCTCTAGCTCTCTCATTTCTCCAAAATCATCTTCAAGCTCTCTACAATCAGAGTGCTAACTTAGGCATCGGAGAGTCCCCGCCGGGAAAATACCCCCGGGTCCTCTGATTCAGTTCTTGCAGGTCCCTCAGCTCCCGCCGCCTACAAAG